TCAAACCGTGCCATTTGTTCCTATTTTATTTCAAATGGCACTTAATTTTTCAATTTGGCACAAAATGCCAAAATGGCACTTTTGTAAAAAAAAATAACATTTCAATACATTTTTGTGAAATCCTTTGCGTGCACTTCTTTTTCTCAACTAAAATTTTCTAATTTATAAAGGCTATTCAACTGGTTTATCTTATTTTATCATTGCACTTTTGTTTTGAAAATGAGGCTTTATTTTATTGCTAAATCTGAATGATTAAAAGGAATTACACCTTTTTTGGCACTTTTATTTTTCTATTTGGCACATTTTGGCACTTTTTTTATCCTCAATATGGCACCTCAAAACTAAGGAGAGTTGGCAGCCCTGATTGGAAGATTTCTGCTGTGTTTTGAGGCAACAACTTGTCTGCAGTAAAAAAGCATATAATTTGTGTTTCAAAAGTGTGTGAAAACCAATCCATTAACTTATATGATCTCGGTTTCGATATTAAATAATCAATAATTGTTTATACCCGCATTTTGGCACATTGGCTCGTTGAATGTGCCATCTAATAAATAGTGTCGTCGTTCTCCTTAGCTGCTTTTAAATGACTGCTGGCGGAGACATAAATACAGTGTAAGAAAATTCTTTTTCTAGAATTGTTTCCTTATAGAAAGGTTGGGTTCTTTTCCACCTTAAACATTCCGAATTCGTTCAAAATATGCTAATTTAAAACACAGAATTCTTTCAGTGCTCCTCCGGGGTTTTTGGACATGTACTGTTTCTTCAATTTAATAGTGTTCGCTTTATTTTTGTAGAAACGAAAAATGTTTTGCATGTTATGGATCATTTCTCCACTCTTTCTTCAAATATTTCTCGTATTCCAGCTGTACGCAGGCGTTTAGTTTTTCGCATCGTGTTTTTACATATTCGTAATTTATATTCTTTTTTTAATAGAATCAATTGGAGGTAGTTCATGATTGTGTGTGGATTAATATCACAACACTGAGGATTTGGCAAAAGCCTTTTTCATCTATTAAAAAACAACACTTACGGGGCAATGTTTATTGCAAGAACAACATTTTTTTCTATGAATCGACACACTTTAAGCATTGTTGACGCTATTTCCATTTGAATGAGGAAATAGCGTCAATGACTTTATTTCCAAATTTTTGTTGACTTTATTTCGCTTTTGAAAAGGTAATAATGTCAATTGACTTTATTTCGCACCAGGGTGGGAAATAAAGTCAATTGACCTTATTTCCATTGACCTTATTACCTGTCACCGGGCAAGAAGTGTACCGACGTAACTTTGCGCTCAGTGAGTTTGCACAAAACTTCAATTCCAAACTAGGACCCCAATTTGTGAAATGTCGAATCCGTGGGAACTGCTATTACAAACTTGAAGATTTACAGGGAAAAGAAATTGGCACTTATCATGCCAAAGACATTCGAAGCTGATTCCCGCTAATATTCCGCCGGATGTTGTCATATTATCTGGTTTAGTAATGGTCGTCTCATTTTCCTCAGTGTATGAGCTTTACTCTCCATGCAAGCTTGTGTCCCAAAACTTTGTCACATACACTCTGCGACAAAAGATGGCTTCAGCAATAGGGATGCTGAGAGCAAAGGGGAAATGATCTCTAACATGTATGTATGTTCGTACATATGTACATATCGTCGATGTTTTTGCAAAACCGCCCTTCGACCAGTTGCAAAACCGCCTAAATCGCCGTTTTGGCAAAAATGAGATTTGGTAACCCTGAACTCCAGGCATCGAGATTTATGCATAAAAATCAGTAAATCGTTATTAAAACAACAGATTTGTAAAATAATAGCTAGAGAAAATACCTCCTATCAAGACAATGCCTTCAAAGAATAAACCGTTTTTTCTCTCCCCTGTAAAATTTGAGTGCCGCAAGATAGGCGGTTTTGCAATTGGGTGATAAGCGGTTTTGCAAAAACATCGACGATATGCATTTTTACATTAGTATGCACATAAGTATGTATGTCATATAGCTTCCGATAAGATTCTGCAGCTAACTGCGCATCGATGCTCAGCCAACGGTAGCCAAACTTCCAAAGAGATAAACCACAAAAAATTTTATTGGAATTCAGTCCTTCATAAGCGCCCACGCGGCGGTAGTCTGCCTCTTTTTACTGATTTTATTCAACGCTGGCAGATCTGCTACCACGACGCGTTTATACATATATCCACGCTTATGCCAGAACAAATCCGCCTTACCCAACTCTGAAGAGGATGGAGTAACACAGTTCAAGAGTATTCTGTTCGCCTGGTAGAAACCAGAGAATCCAACCGGCCTGCCATACATTTCGACCCATACCAGGTATCCACATCTGTCGCCAGTAAAGAAGGATCGGCTTGGCCATTTCTAAACGCCTGCGTGGATGGAAAAAAATGTCCGCCTGGAGTGAAGTATATCAAGTTTTTCATCTAAATATAAATCCATAACCCGGAACTCTGTCTATGGGTTTGTGCTCTACCTCGTAACCTGAGTTGAAAGCTGCGGACCAGAGGAAGAAGTTCCTCAGAATCCTGCCCTGAAAAAATTGATAGAATTCCAGAACGAGAATCTTAAAGTTTTTTTAAGTGAAGAAGTATTTGCTTTTAAACATACATATACATAAAAAAGAATAGTAGAATCATTAACACAAGAAAAAAAAGGCACGGAAATAAAATAAAAATTTTATCGTAAACGACCTGCCATAATGCGGTAAATGATCGCGAGACTACAACAACCACGGTGGAAGGCCTTTCAACGCTGGAGCTGTACGTTCATATGTAAGTGGTGTTAATTTTTCCTCATATCGTTTTTCTCATTGATAAGCCGATCCAAATCGACAGGCGTACCTAGATATGTATACCTAATCCATGTAGGTATGTAACATGTGTACCAGCAAATGCAGGTGTAGAGACATACGGGTGCTTGTACACACCGCAATATGCTCATGAGAGCTGACCCTGCAAGAACAGTGTCAGCCATTTGACCATTAACCTGACGATCAGAAATGAAATTAATTTGTCAGTACGTAGAACAAAGTTTATATCAGTTTCTTAAGAGCACTATGCGAAAACTGATGTAAACAAATGTATACGTGTGATTTTTCCTCTTGCTCTAACGCATTGAAATTTCCGAAAAGCCAAACATATATCTTCACTACTCACTCTCATTCATTTTATTGGGTCAGCGCTGATTGCAAATTTATCAGGGAAGATAAACGTCATTGTTTATGTTTTAGTCCGTCACAATCCATCATACATGACAATCGTCATTGTTGTTGTATTAGCCCGTCACAATCTATCAGATATGACGAATGTCATTGCTGATGTATTAACACGTCACAAATGATACTTTTTTTTGTTCTTCAACAAATATTATAGTTTTATTTTTTTCATGAAATATGTACATGTATGTGTTTATTTTAACACTTTAAAACTATACTAAACGCAAAATCAATTCATTTAAATAATTAAAAAGGAAAATATATCCCATGTCAAAGCTATAAACGCGCTACGTATTGACTAGTCGAAATATTTAATTTGTTGATATTTAATTATATTTATTTTTAAAAAGCTATAGTTTATTGCTTAATAAAATCCGTATAAATGCAAGTGTTAAACTTTGTGCAATATTAAAAAAGTCAACAAACTTCGGTAACGATTTAAAGCTTTCTTATTAGATTTCTTAAAAAGCTTTCAAATTGGACTTCTTAGATAGATTTTGAGTATGCAGTTTTGTGGCCCATTCAATTAGTATATTAAAATGTAAGTTTGAAGTACTTAGGGCTTACCGTTGATTTTTGGATTTTTTTTTGCTCATTTTCTTCTATATAAAAGGACATTGTATGGAAGGAAATGAACAACACCGTCAGCAAAAAAAAATCCAAAAGTATAAATAAATAAATAAAGTTTGGAACGGTGATTTATATGGTTTTGGTTAAAGCTTGGACGGCATTTTTATAGAAAAGTAACAAAAAAAAATTAGCTCGACAACGATACGAATATTTGAAAAAATCAAGACGTGGTCACTTGTTTGTGTCACTGAATAATAATTGTATTACAAATCACTATTAATTTATCCTTTCTGTCTTGTTTTTCTTTTCCATATATTTTTTTTGTTTCATTCGGTGGTGACTCTTCTCCACAACCTTTCGCACATCTTGCAATTGAAAAACGCCTATATAAAAAAGAAAATTTATTTAAAAATTACTTCGACTTATTGTTATTAGCAATTTTTTTACCTCTCAATAGTTTTTCAAATAAAGTAAGTTTCGCCAGAGATTGTTTGTCTCCCCTCCCGTCCCAGTTAAATTACTCCAGGAGATTGTCCGTAAGAATGTTTCGGATGACGCCATCCACATCCTGCGAAGTCCCCTTAAGCTTATGGCAATAAGTTGACTGTGTAAAATAACCATACAGAAAAAATATATTAGTATTACATAGAAGTTATAAAGTTTATTATACGTATTATTTTTTACCGTAGCTTGCGCGAATTGAGGTTCTTTGAGTTTTCCCTCAATCTCGAACACAGATTCGACGGTATTCAAAGGCAGCATTCTTGCCACTTCGTCAAGCGCGTCATCTTTATCTTCTCCAGTCATCAGACAGACTGATCGCTGGACGTTCTTTATTGCGACCTTGCATTCCCACAACAAAGTGTTTTAAGCAAGCATTTCCGATTTATTGACGTACTGTTAAAAAGCACCAAAATTTAGCACCAAAATTCCAAATGATATTGTTTGCAACTCATGTTTATTTATTTATTTTCAATAATTTTCATTGCAATTATAATTCAATCTACAACCGATTAATTTTTGTTGGATTAAAATTTGAGAAATTTGTGTCAGCTTTTAAACTTTTATTTATGGGGTTTATGTTAAAAGTAGATTGAATTATATTTGCAATGAAAATTAATGAAAATAAATAAATAAACATAAGTTGCAAACAATATCATTTGGAATATTGGTGCTATATCTTTGATCGTAGCTGTATATGTACTTTTTTATTTTTCAGAATTATTTCTTACATTTTGTTGTATATGTTCAACTTGTTCGCTGATGATTCCTTGGTTGTGGGTCAGAGCACCTTGCCCTTCTACCATAAAGGCCACCTTGGCGTGTATAATAACTTGCTATTAGAAATATGTAAATATGAATATGAATATGAATATGTTTTTCGTACTAAATAAATGTTATACATTTTTTAATTAATATGCCCTATATTTTAATAAATACCATAAAAATC